CTGAGACAATTTTGAATCACAATTTCCTTTGCAAAAATATCGGATAGCGCTTTGTTTTTGAATTATTAACAAAGCACCATTCAACATTTTTGCAAAGCTGTCGTATTTTCACTTGCATTGAGTAATTTTCTTTATTACAATATATAGAGTGACTTCTAAAGCTGATAGAATGAATAATTTGCCAAAATCCACGCTATAGGAAGGATATATTAACTAACAATAAGAGAAAACTATGGCTCAGAATCGTCTTAGCTACCCCACATTTCCGGTTCTTACAGTAATTCTAGGACATCCTGTATGAATATTTCCCAGTGAATATATTTGGTTGCATTCGGTTAAATTACAAGTGAGATTTACAGGAGCATACTGTGGGTGTAGAATGTATTCGTACACCGATCAATTTCCCAAAAAACTTTTGTGTGAGATTGTAGTTTCTTAACTTCCTTTTTTTATAATCAATGATACTTTACATATTCTCGGAACTCTCTAAGATAGATATAGTCCAAACAACATTTACTAGTTAATATAATTTGTAAAATTAACAAAAAAATGCGAAAAGTGAGTAAAAGTATAGAAGCAACAAGCATTTGTACGATTCTTATGACGAACCCTTTACAGTAAAGTTTGTAACGTAAACACATTAGTTTATTGCTCCGTAAGAATTAGAAAACATCAAATTTCTAGTAAAGTACTTTTAAAAAAGGCTCTAAGAGAAAAATGGAAGAAGATCCCGCTTCGAATAACTAATAATTTAGTTAATTTAATGCTTAGAAGAGTTGCAATAATTATAAAATCAAAAGGAAATCCCACGAAGGAAGTATTATATACTTGTAAATTAATGTAAATTTCTTTTTTTTTTCTTTTTGAATGAAGTTTTAAAAATTAATCTCTTGTACGAATATTTATTGCTTCAATATTTCTATCGCTTAATTGTTTTTTTTCTTGTTAATTTCGCAACTTACATAAATAACTATTTTTTTTGTAATCTATCTATTGTAGAGATTTCCGAGAATATGTAGAATGTCATTGTTTATCAAAAATAAATTAATAAATTACAATTTTACAGTTTTTTTTTTTTTTTTTTTAAATTGATCAGCGTACGAATATTTTCTACACCCACTGTATGCGAAAAAATGGACATCATCCTCGGTGAAACAAATTTTCCTTTATCTATAGCCTTGAATTTGGTACCCAACCCTAATTTAATACAATTAATTTCGAAAAGAGAAACGAATGAAATCCAAATAGAAGAAACTTGAGCCGAAAGGGTTATAACGCGCAGACATGTTAAATATTTTCGCGATTCGTTAGGTACTTCCCACGTACCAGACAAATACGTCACCAACGGATGGTGTTTACGTCTATGGAATGTTTCTGGCTGGCGCGAGATGGGACATGCCGAGCATGCTGCTCGAAGAAAGCTACCCGAAAATTCTCTGGGACCCCATGCCGATCGTTTGGATGATACCATCCCATGTGGATACTCTTTACGTAGGGAAACGATACGAATGCCCCCTTTACATCACTTCCGCGCGTTATGGTATTTTAAAGACCACTGGACACTCGACGAATTACGTGTTGTCATTGCTTTTGGACACGAAACATCCCGTCAGTCATTGGATCAAAAGGGGACTAGCTCTACTCTGTCAGTTGGATAATTAAATAACTATCGCGTTATTAATTCTTTAAGCGTGTAATGGAGAATCTCAGCTCGGGAACTATTGTCTATTCAACGTGAATGTCGTATTTTCATTTGCATCGAGTAATTTTCTTTATTATAATTAGACTGCGGATCTTTATGCATTTATAGGAAATTTGAATGTCCAATACCCTACAGAATGCAAACAATATATAAAAATATACAAAAATATACAAAAAATTGAAAGTAAAGTTCATGTTATAATATTTACAGAATAAAATAGATTCCTATTTAGGCCCATTCAATTTTTGTAGGCACGTTCGCGAATATTTTATTTTGGATAAAGATCCGCAGTTTAATTATAATATATAGAGTGACTTCTAAAGATGATAGAATGAATAATTAGCCAAAATTCACGCTATAGGAAGGATATATTAACTAAGAGAATTGCAGATATAAGCTCGTATTATTCTGCATGTAATTGATAATATCATCAGGCTCGAAAGAATGATGAAATTAGCAATTGCATACTTTAAATAATATCGAGTACCCAGGTCTCACCACGTGGAGGTTGCTGCATGTAGAGACCTGACATTGGGGTGAAAGGAATGTGCCCAGCACATCCTAACCACCCAGTTTACATGCACCTTCCCCATGCGACCTTCACCTGCACTTCTCTAATAGAAGTTTAACCACCACCATTACCAATACCATCCAATAAACAAGCATCTCATACAATAAATAACCTTCTACATCCTTAACTCTAAAACTACCAACTATCAAGATACACCTATTACAAATAGTACTACATCTGTGGAAGTGAAAGGAAAATTACTACTATTATTATTCCTACCTAAATGAGCCCTCATTATAACTATAATTAAACACTATAATGTATTTTTTCGTTTTAACCTGCCTAGCTAAACAGAATACGAGAAAATATGTTTCGTTTTGGTTCGAACCATTGATTTGATTGCATTTACATCCTACTTATAGATAAATCTAGAAAATAAAATACAAGAATGTGTGTGTGTGTTCTTTCATTCTTGTAATTATTAATCCCACAACGATTTTGCAAAATGTAGCAAGCCTATCAACTAGAAATCTATGTGTATTCACATCCCGCTTGCAGATAAATCTAAAAAATAAAATACAAGAACGTGTATGTGTTTCTTCATTTGCGTAATTATTAATGCCACAACGATTTTGCAAAATGTAACAAGCCTATCAACTAAAAATCTATGTGTATTCACATCCTACCTGCAGATAAATCTAAAACATAATATACAAGAATGTGTGTATGTTTCTTCATTGTCGTCTTCATTGTTCATTGTTGATCCCACAAAGAATTTCTAAAACATAAACCAAAACCTATCAAATAGAATTTCATAAGATCGAGTGTGTTTCTTGTACATGTAGGAAAAATTTCAACGCAAAGTGTGTGTGTACTTGAACTATCATCAAAATTATATTTGATGATATATTTTTATATTTTATAGCTTGCAAGTTGCAAAACTGTATATACTACGTGGTAACCAAACAAAAGCATTGTAGAATTAATTTTCTACGATAAATATTATTGTATCTCACGAATGTACTAACATTTACAAAATATCTTTTCAACTAAAAGTGTCTCTATAGATCTTTACTTGATAAATATCAATAAACTTCTGACCATTCATATTCGCGTCAAGAAATATGTATAACATTATGAAACTCTAGTTTATTAATGAAACACGCGACGTACAAAAAGACCCTAGCCTACTCTAATAAATATCACAAGAAATGTTACTACTCATGAGTATGCTATGCAATGCATACCCATGGTCACTGTACTCGCCAAAGACCACGTATACAAGTAGTCACCCGTGTCGATTCAGACCTTTCGTCCTACGACATGATTGGGGACCAGAGGAACCAAAAAGCATACGACTCACCGGTCGCAGTCTGGAAATCTTTATGTACCTCGTTGAGAAATGCATGATGCATTTAAAATATTTCATAAATATTTGAAGAATGATTGAATAATGGATGAAACAATTGTATATAATTCATATATTGCATATAAGAATTGTATACTAATGTTTGAAAACACAGATTTATACATTTTAGTCAGTGTACATTTGGCAGAAGGCGCTACAATCTATTGATACTGCCGGTAATAATATTATGATACTTGTTCAAACGTTTTAAATAGTCCGGCAAAAGATATTTGTTCTTTATGTCGGACACTTGCAATTAAATATTTAGAACGCATAAGATAGAACAGGAACACTCAAATACTATTTAATCGAGTCGTTAATATGAGTACTTCTACGTTTGTTATCGATAATGGGGCAAACACCGCGAAAGTAGGGTTAGCTTCTGACAACAATCCAAAGTGAGTTCATACAATAAAAAAATTTTGTTTGACCACAGTCCACCGTTTTTATTTTATATTTTTATCTTTAGACTAGTTCCTAATTGTATTATGAAAGCAAAAAGCGAACGACGGAGACCTTTTGTTGGAAATCAGATAGAAGAATGTCGCGATGCGTCTGGACTCTTTTACATCTTACCATTCCAAAAAGGATATCTCGTTAACTGGGATGTTCAGAAAACTGTATGGGACTACATTTTCTCAAAAGAGTGTTGTCCTGTAAATTTGAATCAGCTTTCAGTGATTATCACTGAACCTTTGTTCGACTTCTCTACAGTACAAGAAGCTATAACGGAAATATTCTTTGAAGAATACGAATGTCAAAGTTTATTAAGAATTAATGCCACCACTCTTTCGTGTTATCAATACAAAACAGAAAATCCTAACACAAAATGTTGTATAGTAGTCGATAGCGGATATAGCTTTACTCACATAGTGCCTTATGTAAATGATACCAAAGTTAAAGAAGGTATTAGACGCATCGATGTGGGAGGAAAGCTACTTACGAATCATCTTAAAGAAATTATATCTTATCGACAACTCCATGTCATGGATGAAACTTATGTGATAAACCAAGTGAAAGAGGATTCGTGTTTTGTCTCTCAAGAATTTTTCAAAGACATGGAAACTGCCAAAAGCAAATTGGAGAATAATCCTATAATCAAAGATTATGTTTTACCAGATTATACAACGTTAAGGCGTGGTTTCCTCAAGAATCCAGAGCCTCCCAATGAACAGCAAACTTTACGTTTAAGTAACGAAAGGTTTGCCATACCTGAAATATTGTTTTACCCCTCAGATGTCGGTATCCGACAAATGGGCATTCCAGAAGCAATTATGGATTGCTTGAAAGGATGCGAAGAAGAGACATGGCCTCATCTTTTATCTAATATCATTCTTACAGGTGGTAATGCAAAGTTCCCAGGATTTCAGGAAAGAATCTACAAAGAAGTGAGAAGCCTTGCACCCGCAGAATACACGATAAATGTTTATTTACCCGATAAGTAAACAAATATTCAAATTCACTTTAATACCGCTAAAAATTTCAAATAAATACATAATTTATTATTTTTTTTTTCAGTCCAATTACATATGCTTGGCACGGCGGTAAAACACTTTCAAAAGATTCAATGTTCTCGAGTCTCCTAGTAACTAGGGAAGAATACGAGGAAGAAGGGCAGAACCTTTGTTTTGAAAAATTCGATGTTTAACTTTAATAAATATTAAAAATTATATTCTCAAAAGAAAATCTCCATTATGTCAATATTTTCCATCATACTGTTTGAATTATGAAACTTGCAAGTAGTTAATGCAAGAGATAAATTATGTGAAATAATCTCAATATATTTTCAAATTTCATGTAAATTAAATAATCATATGCAAATAACAATATGCAAAGTGTAAATGGAATGCATATAGTATTAGTATATATATCACGCATAAATGAAAATCAAATAGATTTCATTTCTGCCATAAGCTCTTCTAAGCTAGGACCAGATTCGGATATTTGATTCAAATCGACCGAATGAGATGGTACACTATAGGATCCCTTCACATCCGTTAATGGTGGATGTTCCATTTCATCTTGATCTTGCTCGTCAACGAGCGATATTCCTGTTGCAAAATAATACAGTTTAAATGGAAAATCGGAAATTTGAAATATGGTGCTTGTATCCTCGACGTACCCCATTCATTATCCTCGTGCAAAGGTTTATCTTCAACGATTTCTTCTACTTTTTCCTGGGGTTTTGGTTTTGCCGCGTATTCTTGCTGACGTTCCCTACAATATCTGTCCTCACAGTTTGGATTTGGTCTCAATATCATTTTAGGAAAGAAATCTTGCATAGCATTGTAGCCCAAGTAATAGGATACATCGCCAAAATTTAGAAGATATTTCAGAGCATTTTGGACTAAAAAACCAGCTACAATTCCCATGGTTGTTGGCAAAGATGCCGCGCATACACCGTCTCGTTTTAAAGTTTTTTCATCTATATTTTCTGCCACTACTAATGGAGGAGCACACTGAAAATAGCACAGATGTTACAAAAATTAATTAAACAGATCAAAGTTCTACAAATATTTCGACTACGATTTTTATTCACCGCAAAGCAAGCTGTTTCTCCAGGAATAATAAATTGAATATGACCGGAAACAGCATTTTCAGAGACTCCACTTTCAAACCATTTCTGATTTAGCTCATTGCAGGCGGTATTAATTGCCATCCGTGCTTCAAAATTATCCACACAACTTAACACTAAATCCACAGGTCCCTTATTTAAACTCGATATACTGAAAATCAAATGAAACATCCATTAGCTTCGTAGCTTGTAATGCTTGAAACAATAATTTGTTTATACCTTATGGTGTTCATGAAATGATCAAAATGATCCACTGTAGTGATATTATAATTGTGTGTTTCAATGTCTACATCAGGATTGATATCCTTCAGTGTTTTTGCAGCTGCCTCCACTTTACTTTGACCAGCTTGGTATGGTTGAAAGAAAAGTCTATTCATGTTTGCCATTTCTACTTTATCATAATCGAACAGAATCAACTGAAATATGTAATGTTTGTTGTTTAAAAGTTACTGTGATTTTTGAATAAGCGTAAAATGATTACCTTTCCAATTCCACATCTTGTGAGCATTTCTGCGGTTACACTACCAACTCCACCTACTCCAACAATTGCAATTGTCAACTCTCTTATCCTTTCATAGTTGTCTACTATACCCATGCGTTTTAAGGCCATTAACCGACTAGTTAAATAACAATAGCATAATATAAATACTTTGTATTTTGTTTTATACATATGTAATCGAGATATAAAACATTGTATATAAATAAACAACAAAATCACCTGTAAGGATTCGAATCAACCACTTCACTTGACATATGTTCTATCTTTTCTCTGGCAGTTAACGTATCTTTACATTGTTTCTCGAGCAATTTGTTTTCCAGCTCCTTTACTCTTTTCCGTAACACTTCTATCTCCTCCATCGTTGAAGTTAAAATTAATTTTCAGAAATAACGCGAGGTAACTATTTATGACAGACGGGTTACCCGCAGATTGCGGAGTATGCTTCCGAATGCTTACGAATGTGTGCCACAATCGGTCACAATAGGTAAGTACTTACACACCCTCGTGACGGAGATAAAATTTGTAGAATTGTTAACACAAATACCTTTACGAGTAACGTGTATTTTGTTCAATATGTGTCACCGATTTAATAGATTTTTAATTTTTGTTGCATAATAGAGCACATAACCTATTATTTTCGAGTAATACACCCATTTTCTTCTGTAATCTCTATTTGTGGATTCCTATTATTTTTCAGATTATTAAACGAATATGCAGTTTCAATGACTATACGAAGCATTTAACATTCTCGTTAATCTTTATTTTGTAGTACATATATTTGTTTTTTTGTAGTTCTAACAAATTAACCAAAAAGTAGTGATATTAAGAATTTAGATTGTAATGGTTTGAAATAATGTTTAAGTAAAGTTATCTTTGTTTTATAAATGTTCCTTTAGAAGTCTGATGTTTTCCATAGTCCTCTTTGAACATTATATGTTTTTACATGAAACGATAGAAAAGCTGATCTTTCACTCAAAGAACGTATTAATTAATTAATCACGAGTAAAGGGTGAAATCAATAATTAAATAATTCGTTCTTTTAATTAAATTGTATTTCCTTTTTTTTGAAATTAATCCTATACAACACTGTTACTTTAGTGTCGTTACAACGTTCTCTTGTGTTGTAAATCGTGTATGTTATCATCGTTACATCGTACATACGCGCAAATGCCTTGTTTTCGCATGAAAGAACAGTTTGTAATTTTTCGTTATCCTGTTTAATAATCGTGTCACTAATTTCGAGGATAAATTTGCGAAAACATTATAAAAATACCATTGTGTGTCTTGCAGTTGATTCAAGCACTTCGTCTCTGGCCCATTCAACATCTTCGACTCTTTCTGTTTAGGTCATCCTTAGCATACTTCAAAAGCTTTAAATTAATTAATTTCGAATTAACAAAAAAGAGGATAAAGACGAAAATTATACATGTAACTCATCGTCAGTACTTTTCAGAAATGTTAAACAATTTTCATTTTAGTTTGAAAGGAGAAAAGTGAATACTTACGTATACACTATACAATAGTAATCTTTCTCCAAAAATTGATTTAGATTTTTAAATGTACCGAAGATGAATCGAAAGATTCGAAATGGTGAACAAATAAACCGATCGATTTGACTGCAGGACACATAAGTTCTAACACAAGCATCAACCAGCATCGTTAAAAAAAACATAAAGTCGTGTAATACACAGCGGTGTCGTCCGTTTTCATTTATTATAATGCTTTCGTAGTTGATGATGAGGTTCAAATCAAAGCATATCCGTGCACTTTGGCTAATTTTATTGTCAATACCTCAACCATGTCAAAATACTTTATTTTACAAGTACTACCGCGTTTATTTCAAAGAATTAATTAAATACAACTGGTTTCTTTTTTTCTCAGTGTAGAAGAGAGAGACAGAAAAACGAGAAGGTTTTGTAAACGATTTCACTATGTCGCTTTGGCATTATAACAACGAGATGATAGAAGAATCGAACGTACACAACATTTGGTACGATGAAAGATTCGGTGCACTTCAACCCCCCCCCCCCGCCCCTCCCACGCCCCATAATACAACCGTTATTTGAATAATAATAAAAAAAAAAGAAGTGAAAAAGAATTAAAAAACAAAATTGGAAAGACTTGGTGAACGTCATATTCTGCTTTGAAAAAATATCGCGTAACTCATGACGTTGCAAGATGAAGTACGAAAGTTAAAATTCCGTGTGTAAATATATTAATTAATTATATTAGTGACAATTCATTATTTTAATTGTTGTTTGTTTCATTTTTGTATTCTCTTGTTCGTTTATGTTCATTTGCAGATTTAAATAGTAATTACTTCGATAGTTTTTTTTTTTTTGTTGTTTTCCTATAAAACTAAACTAGATTATCGTAAACTTAACGTTATGAACAGGGAGGGTCATCAAACTTGGACAAACAAGTACGTTTGCGCCGTTCTTGCCACATGAAAAAGTACATACCTCGAAATTAAACACGGTTTTTCGTCGCGCGCGTTTTTTCTTTTTTGTTTTGTTTTTTGTTTTTGTTTTTTTCGTTCAAGCGATACACGACGATCGTAAGCAGAATAAATAAAATGTATTTATAGTTTACTTGTGTTACACAGAGTATTCATTTCATTACTGTTTTTTTTTTTTACATCTTTAATATCTATTTGGCGCAGTGCCCCCCCCCCCCCGCCCCCAATTAAAACTTCTCATTTACCTTTCATTTTTTCACTTATCCTCTGTGTATACGTATATATGTATATATATATATTTTTTTTACGCGTTATTGAAAAATAAAATATACACACATATATATACATATGAAATCTTAAAATACACGATAATAAGGCAAAAACGGCGCAGTTGATCGGAATAAGAAGCGAACAGTACTATTTTTTGTTTTTGTTTTTTTTTTCCTCTCTTTCAGCCGATAATATTCGAGAACCGCACACGTCACTCCTCGAAACTGAACTCACACTCCGCTTGAATCGGTTAAACGTATTTGTTGGTGATACGCTAGCGTATATATGTGTACGTACATATATATATATATATACATATATGTATACATACGTGTATCGGATTGACCGTGCTTTTTATGCGCAAAAATTTTATACGTATAGGAACTGACGAATTCTTTCGAAACAATAACGAAAGGACATGGTGTACAAGTGGAGTGTGCTCTATTCCTATACATTCATTAAAAGTACGTCTCTTTCACTCTCCCTCTCTCTCTCTCGTTCGCTCACTATCTCTCTCTCTCTCTCTCTCTCACGCGTGCGCGCGCGCACGATGAATATCCTTTTTTTTTCTTCAAATGTACATAATAAATTGGCTTATTCATATATATAAATAATTACACGTTCAATTTGATAAGAAACACATTGGTAATGCTGTATACGAAATCGCGTGCGTGTCGTCGACACGTATCAAGGGTTTTTTTTTTTTTTTTTGGAACGGCGCATCGAGCGTACAATTGTACAGCAAATACATCATGATTCCTTTTTCCCATTTCTTTCTTTATCGGTGTGTAGATATCGTTCGTGTCGGTCAGAGGTGGGCAACATTTTGCTCGATCATTGTTACAGTTTTGGAATTCGTTTAACGTAAAATATAATTCATCCTACGATCTCTAATTCGAACGTTTAACGTACAATAAACCAGAACGAAAAGCAGTTTCGAAATTCGTATTCGGACGAGTAGTTTGCCCATCTCTGGTGTCGGTAGGCTTTTGCTGACGCCAAGTGTTTTTTTTTTCTTTTTTTAAGTATTTTTCTTTTAAAATTCTTCTTAAGGTGTCTGTGAATTCTCGATATCGATCGAAGCAATGAAAAGCACGATTCTTAAACGTGGCGAACAGAGAAAAAGAAAAGAAACGAAGCATGATAAACTAGCTAGAAAATTTTAGTCGCGGCTTCGTAACGATATCGTTAAGTTTTCGTCGATTAACGGATGCCTCGTCGAACGTGTCGACGGCATCTATTTACTGGATACATAGGTATTCACAGAGCACAAAGCGTACTTGGCTATAACAAACATTTTATTCAACTATTATTGTATCAGATATAAACGAACATTTGTATCATCGTTAGAAGTACTAAACCGAGCGGCCTAAGGTACATGTTAAGTGTGAGTGTGTATGTATGTATGTGTATATGTATGCGTGTTGTGTTGAAGCACGATCGTGCGAGTTGTGTGCACGGATGCAAATGTACGTGTTAGTTTCTCGCTTTGTGTCGTCCTTTTCACTTATGAAGTTTCGCGTGACAACGATCCATCTTTCGAATGACAAAACAATGATCTAATAATCGCATCTGTGTGGATTTACGGGTCTTCCGGCGTTCGTGACATTTAGCAGCAGCGTCAGTAAAAGGATAGTATTACCGTATACAAATCATCGATTACAAAACGGAGAAAAAGAAAAGCAACGGTACAAGGTATCTTTTAATGGCACATGCACACCGGCCAATATGGACGGAGCACGTACTTTGATTCCATAAGTTTCTCGTGTACATCCTGTATCATCGTAAGTTTCTGTTTCATTTTTCTTTTCCTAAAACGTTCGTCGTACGCTCGACAACGCCCACTCCGGAACACATCGATTACTTCCGACTTCCTCTTCTTCTTAATCATCATCTTCTTCCTCCTCCTTCTTCATCTTTTTGCCACTAAGTCTTTAAACCGTATTGTAGATTACATTTCGATTATATCAGATGCAAAATCTGTTTCATATTTTTTATGTATTTCTTTTTTTTTTTTTTTCGTTTATTCTTAAGTGATTCCCAGGCCGAAGAATAAGGAATGTCTAAAATGTAGAAGTTTATGCATCACGTCGAAATATAATTGCCATTCGCGTAAACTGTGGTCCACCATCGCGCTGTGTACGTTTCCTCTTGGGTTTTCGAGCCGAGGCGGAATCGAAGGGTCAGCCGTTCGCAAATAATGGGTCGAAAATCCTGAATCGTACACGAAGAATGCGAACGACGCGACGTGATGGCGTTCGTGGCAATCCGTGTCCCATTTCCGACGTCCATCATCAGTTTTCTCAGTCCGTTTGTTCCGTGAACCGGTACGCTGCTCGTAGTCACGCCTAGGGATGGGATTAAGCCCCTCGCGCGAGGTGTCGATACCTAAATGAAAATGTTTGATTCATCGTGAAAACTCCTCGCCGTAAAATGGATTACGCACACACCGACTAAACAAAGAAAAGAGAAAGAATATGCCTGTGTTTGAAATGACTGAGCAATTCAAGTCCAGTTGTCGTTTCATCGCGGCTCGTTGTAGACTTGTATAGACAAATTGCGCGCTCTCGAGGGCGCGTTTCACGGCACATTGGAGGACAGAAGTGCTTAGGGTCATGGTCTCTTCCTGACACGTCACAAAGAAAGAGAAGAAGATGATTGGAGGATGAAAAGAAGTTTCACGATACCCAGTCAAGATTTTCTTCTATTCCCTCGCCCTCGTTATAGAAATAGACACAACCCACGACTATTCTCTCTCTTGTCTCTCTCGTATCGCCTACGAGCCCCCTCGCAGGACGCGTGGTCTGCCTATATAAGTCTGTCAGTTATACTCGGATCACGAACGGACATCTTGGAAATTCGTGGGTCCGCCACGCTTTTTCCAAAATGGAATTTGATTGCACAAGAAAATCAGACGCGCGCGTTACACTGTCCATAGTACTAAATATATATTAATTTCTCTATAATATTCACCACTCGTTAGGGAGGAATCAAACATTTTCTCGCAGGTATTGATACTTGGGCGCTTGCGACTTCATCCTGTATACTAGTACCGAGAAGATGGGCCAATCCCTCTAAACGCGAACAATCGTCTCCAAAGTGCAACGATTAGAAGCAAACATTTCACCGAATTAACAAATATATTTAAATGCGAATTTCATGTATTTCATTTTACAGAAACGAATTCGCAGGTGAGTATAAAAAATAAACTGCAAAGGGTACATATTCTTATGTTTTTACGTTGTATCTCTGAAATTATGTAGCTTATTCTTTATTTCCGCCACCGAATTTGCTTCTACAAAATGAAATAAGTTTACTAAATTTACATCTAAATTGTTGCAATTGAATGTCCACTTCTAATTATTGTATTTTTTTTTTTTTTTTTTTTTAATCATCAGGGACTGGCCTAAGGATTCGTCGCACGATTGGGCGAGGCATATCGCGGTGCTCTCAATGCGACGACAGATATAAGAAGTAATCGGCAGAGCTTTATACACAGTTTATTCGAATTTTACGGATTAATCGACATCAAACGACACAGACTTGAATCGTTTCGATATTTCAAATCAAACATTTGTTTAGTCGCATTTCTAGTCACTATGATCACTCTTGAAACGATCTTCTTATTAATAATAGGAAAAAAAGAGGGTAAAAAACGTAATAGTTGTCGCGTAATTCGGAAAATTTTGTAGTACATTGTTGTTGTACAGTGAAAAATAAAAGCATACATCACTTGCAAACAAAACAGAAGATCGTTTTGCGTTGTAAGGGCCGTTAATGACATTATCTCGTACATTCTCCCTATTGTATTATTATAAACCGCGTTGGCCATTCCATGCCCCCCTAAAATTTCCACGTGTCGGATATAATACCCGACGAGGGACAGTTTGGTAATGGTTTCATTCTATTTTCCCTGTTCGTTTATTTACAGGTGCCTGGAACGACCTCGCGTAAAGCGTAACATAGTTTTTGTTTTTTCTCCTTATTTTTTTTAACTTGTTCGCAATGGAGAAGGTGCCCGACAAATACCTTATTTTAACGATACATTTCAACATAAATTGTGTTTCCACGCTCAACGCTTGAACACTTTACAAGGAGTGGTGCTTGGCCATTGCGAATCAGTTAAAAACAATTTGGACACCGACTCCGGACGATGTCGACAGCCGATATTTTGTTTTCCTTTCATGCATTCAACCGCGTGCCATCCGAATTACGAGTATCCGTAGACATTACGACATAGACACCGACGTTGTTCGCAGCCCCGGTGCGGGCATTTCTTTAGTTCTTTATAAATATCGTAAAATAGAAACTGTGAATCCGAATTATTACGAACTTCACGGATGTTTTTTTTTGTTTTTCATTTTTTTTTAAATCAATACGCATCGTATTCGAGGATGCGAATGAATGTTTATGGCGTTCTCATGGTCGATTCAGCAATACGTGAATGATATGGTTAAATAATTATAAATTGGAAATAGAGGTGGTGACATTACCTGGGCCGTTACTCACCTACAGGTAACGAACCTGTCATGGGAGTAGGTGACGATGATACCATGTTTAACCGACCTTGCTCTTTTACTATTGGATCTAAAAAACAGAGACAACGTGAAATAAATATTAATAAGTTAAGTTCTCCCTTACTCACTTAAAGTTCAAATAACGAATATTTTATTTTTAATATTAAAAGGAAGATTCTCCTAGTGTACTATTATTACATTACATAGATATTACGTTAATTCAAATATTCAATATACTTACAAAAATAAGGATGCTCCATGGCTTCGCGTGCAGTGAGTCTCTCGAAATGGTCATAGCGCAAAAGTTTGTCAAGGAAATCAAGGCTTTCGGCTGACACCAAATGTTGGTTCTCCGAATGCATAAAACGCTCCCAGCGTTTGCGCGAATGTCGGCCTAGAATGTCATTGAAACGTGGATCCAATTCGATGTGATACTTGTCAAGGTACTCGAACAGTTCTTCGGTTCCAAGAACTTTTGCAATTCTAACTAGTTGGTCATAATTATCGTGTCCGTGAAAGAACGGTTCTTTCCTGAATATCATACTTGCAAGCATGCACCCAAGAGACCACATATCTAATGAATAATCGTACATCTAGAACAAGAAAAAGTAATGTATTCCATTAATTATATAAATAATGCTCGCGGTAACGTAACATTGAATAGAATAATTACGTACCTGATAATCTACGAGGAGTTCTGGACCTTTAAAATAACGCGAAGCTACTCGTACATTGTATTCTTGACCAGGATGATAAAACTCTGCTAGACCCCAATCGATTAACCGCAACTTTCGATTTTCGTGATCTATCATAACGTTGTGCGGTTTGACGTCCCTATGCATTATTCCCATACTATGACAATAATCCAATGCCTAAGCACAGAAACAAGATGGAATAATGTCGTGTTGTTCATTAACGTTCCGTTACTTCTTATATGGCTATAGATACAAAGTGTTGAGCGTTATCCACGTATTACTTACTTAAAGAAATATTCATGAGTCCGAAAATTTTAAAAATTTCTGAAACTAAGGATTCTTTTATGTTCTTTAATGAACGGAAAGGAATGAACTTATTGCTTTAATAGAAAAATATCACACTCCATTACATTCACACAATGCGATAACGTTTAACCCTTTCTATACTGAATCTATTCAATGCATCAGTCCTATTGAACTTCGCTAACGAGATATGTTATCTATGTACTACTTTGTCACATAGTACAGTATTATATAATGAAGAGAAATTATCCAGGTATACAAACAATATTATTAACCCTCTGGATGCCACGCCGATCTTCGCATCGGAACCGGGATCCCACAGAATGACCCGCTGGCGTCCAGAGGATTAAGAAGCTTGAATAAAAAGAAATACAATTTTCAAATGTTAACATATAGATAGAAACTTACAATGCTACTATAAATAAACTGCTAAGTGAACACCAGTTTTTTGCAGTATTGAAAGGGTTAAAAAAACATGGTTCATAAGAGTTAGCACCAAACTGGTATCAATGACAAGAACCTTGTATGAATGAATAAACAATAAATTTACGGGAATTAAATATTTTCGAACTCTTCTTTGAACCTATGATATACACCTACATCTATCGAAATAATAATCTCGAAGTTTCACATTGGACTGATACTTGGTTCCATTGCACTTAACAATACACGCACTTTTAATAACTCGTAGAGGTAGTATCTTATGTCGTAGTCTGTTAGCGTCTGGTATAATTGCTTGAAATCTGTGTTGTTGACGTGCTCAAAGATCAGTGCTGGTGTCCTCGATACCGGATCTTTGACAACTGCTTGAAGTGTAATTATGTTGGTCCCACCTTTAAGGTTTTCTAAGATTTTAATCTCCCTTTTTATCTTCTTCTTTTTTACAGGCTAGAAATTTAAATTACATGAAAAATATATCTTTGAAACAATTACATAATCTGTGTACATAAAATGTAAGTTATGTTTTCATACCTTTAAAATTTTTACAACACATTTTTCATTACTTGTGACATTAATGGCTTCAAACACTTCACTGTACTTTCCTCTGCCCAATTTTCTCACTAACTGGTAATCATCTTGTTGCCTAAGTAACAAAGAGATGGTCAGAAGCCAGCAAAGCCAGTGAAATAAGTACATGTATGTTAAGTATACACTTACCCCCAATCAACAACATAGGATTCATAGTCCCAGTAATCTCTAGATTTATGTGAATTCACGTCGGTATAAACTCGCGCTCTACTAGGTAATGCCATTCTCTCCGATAAATCACTATTACTATTCGTTTTGTTGATTGCTATGCTTTCACCGTTGTCTATCAAAAAGTTATAAGAGCTAGTTACTTTATGTCCTCCACTCACCCAGTTACGAATGCGCGAGGAAAAAAGTACACCTGAGTCATTAAAAAAATTACATTAAAAAAGAACAGAAGTCATAACACTTAGACGACGGGTGTAGATATGTTCCTACTTTAACCTATTATTGGCAAAGTTGATTATAAACTGACAATATATTCTAAGCTTTTTTAATTAATAATGTAATGTATTTATGTTTTACCATTAATACCATACAACCCAACATATAATTTTACATGTCCTGTTAAGAACATAATATATTTGTGACATGTATCTTTAGCCATCCTGTCGTCTAAATGTTAATGCAACTAAGCAAAGTAGACAATTCTACAATATATACAAATTTATGTTGATCTGACTTAGATGAAATTCTTTGACTATTGCATATTAATGAAGTATTTATTTGAGCATGTGGCCATGATACTTTTTATAAACCTCATAAGATAATGAAAAAATAATGTCATAATAAAGTAATAATGAAGTCTGCGACGCTCAAGGTTTGTATACTTTCTCTTTCAATTAAATATTGTATGTGTATTATGACATATATTTCGCAAAGATGAGTCATACTACATAATTATATAACAATTGTGCTAAATGTAACGTGTCAAGTTGAAATGATCTATGCTAAATTATAATCAATGTTCTTATGTAGAACTAAGTTCTTTGTAGAACTAAAACAATAGAGAGGGAAGCACTTAAATATTTTGGTAACCATTAATCGTATCGGAAATACAAATTGTAAAACATACAGTCTCAAATGTTACATGAATTTTAAAATACACTATTTATTGGAAGCATCTACACAACAACGATCAAGATCTAACCGAAATTACAAGTTACATGGTTAGAAAAATCAAAACAACTTTACCAGAAATCACAATGAGATACAGAGTAGAATAACAAAAGGCCGAAGAAATGAGGTCAAAAAACGAGAGATTAATAAACGTTAAAACGTGTTCACTAATTGCAATGAATGAACTGCATATTCCTTAGATGTCTATTGATTGTGAGTTCGTGGAAGACTACCGGTTCGTATCACCAATTTGTGATTATGTCTTCGCGGAAGAACAATTACGTGTACGTAGAAGGGATTTGTATGTAGAAAAAGGTAATATTTTCATCGAAGTGGATAAATCGATGTAAAAATTAATCTGCTATCTGCTGCATGGAATAGAAGCACGCACAAGCACAAGGCACGAACACACATGTACGAGATAAATCACACGCCATCGCGATCAGGAAATTAATGTTGACTTATTTTCGACTCACCTAATACATTCCGGACCCGAATCTTGATTGAATTGACCGCAACAGATCTAGGAATTCGTCGTGAAATCACGCAATCCGCTTACGGGAAACGTGAGGCCGCGCGAACGCGTGAAACTCGAAGATTTTTGCGGGCGGCCGGCTTCTCAAACGAGCGAGGTCCAAGATGGCAGCCAACAACCCGCCACAAAATTTTAATTCTGTAGATTGAAAACTTTCAACCTCCAACCATTCGTGGTGGCTTTGAAAGAAAGCTTATCGCCAATGCTACCTCCTTGGGGCATCAACCAACCATTTAGAAGTGCTGGAGTCAACACATTTTTTATGTTTCTCCAACAATTTCACAAAAACGTTACGATATCAACTCGCATGAAGTATATCGACTTGCAAGCAATGTACAGGCCATATACGCTTTGTATATTTCGTGTAAGTAAAGAAATTACAAACTACAAATTTGTGATATCTTCTGTCCACTGTACACTATTTTCATGTAACGAAATTTTTGCCTAGAGAAATATATATAAAGGTGTTTGTGACGACTTCTAATAAAGGCTGTAATTTTTCATTTTTATTGGGGAAATGAAAATAACATTTTAGTAATTATATGTACAATGTAGCATATAAAAACACTTAGTACGTTGACCAATCAGAGGTAATTATTACTAGAATTATACAGGGTGTCCCAAAAATGTTGTAACACCTTGAAAGGGGTGATTCGGGAGGTGATTTGAAAGAACTTTTTCCTTAGCGAAAATGTTGTCCGAGATTTTGTTGAGGAGATATTAATGGAAAACACTGACCAATCAGAGTGCGCGTATACCGTTGGAGCGGCCATGGTAGCGAAGGCTACGATCTAAGCGGCCGCGTCCAATGTCCTTCGATGCACGCCGAGTCGCTTGTTCGCGTACAAGCACGGCCGCTTAGCACATAGCGTTCGCTACCGCGGCAGCTCCAACGGTATACGCGCGCTCTGATTGGTCAGTGTTTTTCGTTAATATGTCCTTAACGAAGCCTCGAACAACATTTTCGCTAAGGAAAAAGTTCTTTCAAATCACCTTCCGAACCACCTCTTTCAAGGTGGTACAACATTTTTGGGACACCCTGTATATATTGTACAATTCGGTTTTTGGATTATGGACTTGATGTAAACAATACCACACGAAATAATCTCATGGATATAAATCTGACATATATTATTTATCAGATAAAATAATACAAATAAAAATTATTTTATAATATCTTTATCAACTAAGTATGCATCGGAATTACGGTATACATAAGTACACTCCTGACCAGTGAGCGGCCACTGAGCGATGCTGAGCGAACCTAAGCTGACTTGAGCAGGCCAGTAAGATTGAAAATTGAATAAGATAGTGTCGTAGTCACGCATTATTGTTTCGCTGATTTTTTTCTTGTAAAATGTAAAGTATAGTAAACCTGTGAAACTGTTATAAAAGACAAATTGAATATAAACAAATCTTATCGCCTGATCAAATTTCATATTGATCTTCAATGTCAACACGACGTTTTAACCAGGAGGCAGGGATATTTCGTAAGTTTCAACACATTTTATTTACTTTATTTGATATCTTTATATTTTTGTTATTGTTAAGGTAAAATATATAAAACTGTAAATGTCCCATTGCCATTTATATAAATAAATAGAGACTTGTATAAATTCTATCAAAATTTTATCGAGTTTTCATGTGTTTGAAGAACAACCTAGTACCAAACGGCGCTGCCTTAGGCACTGGTCACATGGTTTTGTTTGGATTCACTTATCACTTGATGAAATGTTGGTAGATATCTACTATATTTTACCTGTATTCGTATTTATGTCGAGCATAGCTCTTACGTAGTCACGTGGTTTTATTTACGAAAAGTCCTCCAGGTTGAATGAACTATAAACGTACCAAATTTCATTTACCATACAAAAAAATGTCCATATGAATTGGTAAAATGGGGTTATCAAAGGCAAACATATTTTAATTAAATAATCCGATACAGATTACTGAAACATTACCTACACTTAAGTATGTTGTTACTAAAATCTAAATGTCAAATGAAACTTGAATCCGATAATACAATTTTTATTTCAAATATAAAAAAATAAATTATATTAAATAAACATTTCTAATCTATATTAATGTATAGGGTGTAAAATTGACAAATCATCTTTCACTGAAAACCATTGCTTCAAAAGTTGTTCTATTGTCTCTATATTATCCTGTAATTAAATAGAAATTTATTTGAAACATAATCAAAGAAATTAACAATGTCACTGAATATTCCAGTTTTACCTCATTTTCATTTCTATTGGATAAGTTTAATTCATTTTTTAAACGTATTGCATCTAAAATCCAAATGTGTGCAGATTTGTGAACAACCCACAAATTAGGGCACAGTAGCCCAACAACAAGATTGGTATTATTATACGTCAAACTATAACATTTATATTAAACATTAAATAATAGTGAGTAGTTTCATATAAACAATAGCTTTGGACACTTACTTATTTAGGAAACTATCAGTTACTTTTTTCAAATCAATGTTCCAAGGTACAATGGTTCTCACTAATAAATTTTGGCTATTCTGACCATTCATTGTATTCATTTTTTCCAATAATTTTTTTAATACTCTATTTTTAGGTTTTTTAGCATCAGTTGTTTGTTTCTGTTTTGTTTCCTGTTTCTTTGCAATATACTCTTCTTCTTCCACTTGTGCAATATCTCTGTAATAACCACGTTCCTCTGGCGATAATTTCTTCCATGCATCGGTTACTGCCAATGCAATTTGAGGTGCTGTCATATTAGGCTGCTGTTCTATGACTAAAAGGAAGAACATCACTCTCAAATATTGACTTGTCTTATGTAATGTTTTTAACAGTTTAAAATATTAGTTAATTCAATTACTTTGCAGTCTATATTTTTTGGAAAATTTAACAAAGCCTTTGCATACATTTCCATGGTATGATTCGATATCCGATAATTTATTTGCCTCTGTATCAACCTTGTAAGGTTGTATGTCTGTACCTCCCTATTAACATTAATTTTCCTACTTCATAATGTTCATAAAATTAAATTTATTTCGAATTTTTACCTTTAAACCAGAAACATGTCCCTTGCTCCATTCTTTCAATGTAGCACACTTTGGTGTAACTGATTTATCATTCTTTGATTGTAGAACTCTTGGATTTGTATTTTCTACCTTGTTTTCTTTTTCACTTTTATCTATATTATCATTTGCCAAACAAATTCTAAAGTCAAAATCTTCACCTAAATCTACCATAGGTAATTGACTAAATGTTTCAGAATGTGGGGTTAATTCAAATTGGGGGCTATCAGGCGTATTTTCGTTTGCAATATCCGTGCTATAAAAGATAAGAAATATAGTAAAAATTCTTATACTATAATGTGTTGTATGATGTCTAGTTTGGAGCTCTAAACTTTTAAGAAAATATTTAAAAAAAAAAATCAATTTTTGTTGTTTCTGGACTAGACCCTTGAAGATACTAACATTGAATCCATTAAATTATCAGAATTATCACAAACTAATGTGAAGTTCTGCGAATTATTTGAATCTGTCTCGCTTAGATCTAAAACTGGGAATGGACTGTTCAAATTTTCTAAATTTTCTTCGCATTTATCGCCGCTCTTCTTTTCATGATTTTGGCCATTTTTGTCCATTGGAGCTTGTTTGTTACATTCATAATTATTATCACTGGCAGGGTTCAGATCGTTAACTGAATTGCCATCAGATTTTTGAAGTTCAGATTCATAATGAATACATTTTTCTTCAGATTTTTCTATGCATACTTTTCTTTTTTTACATGCAGGCCATTCATTTTCTTGATTATTAATGCTTATTTTTTGCGAATACTCCTGATAATCATTGAGAGACACATTGCAAGGATTTTCTTCTTGTACTTCTCTTTGAATCCCATAAAAATCTTTGATATATTTGTCTACTGTGTTGAAAACTATTTGCTGTACATATGATACATGCATGTTATATATGAATTTTAAATACAGATTACCATTAATTTGATTAAAAGTTCACCTGTTCTTTAAACAGAATGGAAGATTTATTTGGCTCTAAATTAACATCAATATTTGCAGCACTTATTAAAAGGTACAGAAAAAATATTGGTTTCTTTTTTGACACTGAATCTTCTCCTATTGCTTCTAATATTGTTTTAGTTAAAATCTACAAATAATTTCTGAATTATTTTTATAATTGCATTATCTAATTTCAATAAAAGAGAAAAGATTATACCTTCTCCAATTCTTTATGTTTAATTGGTCTATTGTTCACAAAAATGTATTGTGCTCCAGATTGAAACACTTCAACAGTATTCTGTGTTCCTTTTGAAGGTACCATTACTTTCATATTAATCTGAAAAATATAATTTAGAATATTACAATTTTTAATCAAAGTATTATTTACCTGTAGTTTACCTCTGTATTTTCAGCATTTATCCAAGTCATATTAGATGTCACCTTTTTACCTAGAATATACGTTACTGCTTCTTCCAGAGTAGCTACACTAGGTTTCATAAAAATAATATTATTATCCACTTTGAAACTCATCCGTACCAAAAATTTACACATTCCATAACTCTTGATTAAGAATTCTAATATTTTAATATCCTGATTAGCCTTCCTCTGAGTGGTAATTATTTGTCTTCGTACTGGTATATGTTTAAATAGTTGTCTAATTTGAATAGTTGTACCTGAAGGAATTAAAATATTTAAAGAAAAAAGAAATTAAATACTTTTAATTGGTTTATATACCAGTAGATCTGTGACAAGGTTCAGAATTGATAATATGTCCACCATGATCGATGGTATACAATACAGCAACTTCATCTTGCTTTGTTTTTGTTATAACTGTAAGATCCGATACTGCACTTAGCGCAAATAATGCTTCACCTCGGAATCCATATGTGTTTAAAGTGTCTATCAATAATATAAACATCATTATCAAAAAATTACATGACATAGTACTACAATTCTTCTCTTAAGGCAAAATAACAATTTACCCAAATCAGACAAATTATGAATTTTTGATGTGTAAGATGGCAGAGCCATATTAGGTGCATCTGCTTTGGAAATACCACAGCCATCATCCTTTATTTCTATTAGAGTAGTTCCATTATCTATCTAATCATTAGAAAGAACACGAATTTTACATTAAAATTGTTGAATACTAAATTTGGTTTAAATACAAGGTAAATTTTAAATGATCATAAATGAAAGGGGATGCAAAAGACATAGGGTGTGGAAAATGTAAAGGGTAGCAAAATACCAAATTAATCTCAATGCTTTTAGCATCAGCATCCAATGCGTTTTCTATTAACTCTTTTACAGCAGTGGATACTGAAGTTATAATTTGTGTAGTGGTTATAAGTTTTGCCGTATCTTTGTCTAGAGCACAAATACTCATTTTAATGTGTCATTAAATATATTGGAATGGAATTCTTTGTTTACAGTATTTATCTATTTTATTGACTTTAAACCAGAATATATGACAACTATGCCATCGGAACAACCGCGTTGAAAGCATAAGTGAGCACAAGTGAGCGCCAGTGAGCGCAAGCATGGCTTGTGCTGTTGCAGCGAACTGAAAGAGGGCGGTAAAATAGCATAGACGTGTTTTGATCTAGTTAGCGTCTCTCAGTGTTGACAAAAATGGTTTCCACTCGAGCATTCGTACTATTTTTAGCGTTAGAAAAGTTTCTAATACGACCATAAAACTGACGCCTTTAATCGCAAAATAGTAGAGTATAAAAGAATTGGAGCCAGGCATCCTTTCCTATAGTTACAGTACTGCGCGTTCAGCTTTTTTCCACGCACACGCGTAAGTTGGGAGCAGCGCTACCTTCGCGTCTCTTTCTCTCATTCACTCTGATTCTGTATCACAACACCTTCAGGGCTCTATTATCATCCACGTAAAAGAAAAAAAGATTTTGTTTTAAAGAATTTTTATTTCACATAACAGGTAATTGTAAAATGTCAATGTTTTTATACAAAGTAGTATACATATTAACCTAACAACTATAATTTATCCTTTTTCTTCCATAATTTGCACGATAGTGAAAAGTCGAAAGAAATTTGTCGACATCTCGTCTCATCCCGAATATTCATGTCTCATCTCGTTTCGAATTGTGAGATCTCGGTTCTTAGAAAATTAACGGAGGTAAGAATTTTATCGACATGATTACTGCTGAGTGCTCTTGATCGTATACGAATAAAAACTTAATAAATTAGGCATTCATGAATGTTTGTTATTCATACTTGTAGCAAATGTGAATTAAACATTAGTTTTTTAATGCTATCAGAAACAATTCATATGTCACGTTTCTCTTATAAGATTTTAGGAAGTACTACAGGTTGATCCGCTCGCTAGTAGACACAATGGACAACCACAACAATAGCCGACCGTCATTGGAGACTTTATGACGGTCACCCATGCTTTTGCTGCGGAGGTCACCGTCATAAAGTTTACAGTGACGGTCAGCTATTGTGTGGTTGTCCATTGTGTGCAGGGTGTCCCACAAATGTTGTAACACCTTGAAAGGGGTGGTTCCGGAGGTGATTTGAAACAACTTTTTCCTTAGCGAAAATGTTGTCCGAGGCTTCGTTGAGGAGATATTAACGGAAAACACTGACCAATCAGAGCGCGAGGATGCCGTTGGAGCGGCCGCGGTAGCGAATAAGCGCGGCCGCCTAGCGCGTAAGCTTACGCTCCACCGGTATACGCGCACTCTGATTGGTCGGTGTTTTCTCTTAATATCTCCTCAACGAAGCCTCGGACAACATTTTCGCTAACGAAAAAGTTGTTTCAAATCACCTCCCGAACCAACCCTTTCAATGTGTTACAACATTTTTGGGACACCGTGTATACTATCGTGCGTTGACAAGTTGGCGAGGCAAACTCATTTTCTTTCTCACTCTGTCCCCCTCTCCTGCTACCATGTGCTACGTCGTTATTGGCTATGGCCAGTGACAAAGGACGACCGCCAACATACCGAGACAGAATGAAACAGAATGACGACTTTACAACATCGGCGTAGCCTCCTAATCAAAGTGCCGACTATTACAGTCGTATAAACACTTACAAAGATAACGAAAACCCGAGAATGATTAGCCACGCCAATGCTGTGAAATCAATTCGTCTCACTCTGTCCCGGTATGCTCGCCGTCGTCTCTTGTCACTGGCCGCAGCCAATGACAACACAGCACATGGTGTCAGGAGAGGTGGAACAGAGTGAGAACCGTGTCCTTGGCTCACCAACTTGTCGTGAACGTACGATAGCAAGCGGATCACCCTGTGTGTTGATTGGAAAACAAATGTAAAAGTTTTTTTTATTTTAAACAGTTTCTGGCACGAGATAAGTCTCATATAGGTAGTTTACGTCAAGTATGCGATTACATTTTGTAATCAAAACGCAACACACATTTCTCATTCGTAGAGGTTTATTACATGTTTTTTTTTTTCTCTTAACTTTTCGTTCCAAACGTTTCCCTTCCCTCTTTGTTACCATCAACAGAACAATTGTACGTCTTATTTATACTTGGCCGATAACGTGTCAATGTGTTTAGCGTATGCTTCTTTCGCGGCGTCTTTTGACATACCCTCCCTCGATTTCCACGAGTCCCACTTCGCTTTTGCCTTCAAATCCATCATGCCAGGTCTAGCTAAAATGTTAAAAGAATGATTGTCAGTCTTTAGTCGTGCGTTTGTGTAGCAGTTATTCATTTTGTCTAACGAACATTGTCTTTATCGCTTCCCTTTATCTAAACGCCAATTGAGGGGTGTGCTGTAATAAGGAGTAGGTATGGCGTGAAAAATCACTAACAATGATTTTTCACGGTAATCACACAATCACGATCGCAGTCGTGATTAAACTTCGATCACGACCGTGATCCGAAAGATGGCGTTTCAGAAGCGGTTCATGTTAATTATTATCGTTAGTGTATCACTGTCTCCCCTTAACAGAAATTCAAGAAATTACAAATTAGTCAAATTTAAATTGTATTAAAATTATATTAACATTGCTTTTAGATCATATTATAATACATATATAACCTAAGAACAACATAATTTGTGAAAAGTGAAAAGAATGTTCTGTACCAATCAGAAGCGATCGCGAGTGATTCAAAAGTAGCAGTTCACGGCATCTCTAATAAGGAGGCAGTGATGGGCAAAACCCTAGACTTCGAATAAATCTGTAGTTGGCCGATATGTTTGTGTCGTTTCCTCTTTTGAACATTTTCCAGAAAAAGAAACGAGACAAACACATCGGCAAACTTCAGAGTTATTCGAAGCTTAGGGGTTTGCCCATCTCTGTAAGGAGGCAGCTCCATTTTTTTTATGGTTTTGAGGTGAACGTAATCGCGGATTTAAAAAATTCCTATTTTTCGTGGTGTAATAAGGAGACAGCTCCGGTCACTAGAAAAACTAACGATGTCGATTTGACGAAGATAGAGCAGGAAGAAGAACGAATGAAAGTGTTTTTGAAAGAAAATTTTGTTTTCATTCGAAAAATTCCTATTTTTTTTTTAAAACGTGGCACAATAAGAAGGCAGCCCCAAACCAGTGATGGGCATTCGTGGGATTTTTCCTTCGAGGAATTGCTTTCTGCGCATGCGTAAGCTGACATCACAGCTACATGTCGTCTGCTACCATACATGTATCCGAACCTCTAGAGGAGGTGCATTTAAGGGCCTGTGCAATTTTCCCGCGTTTTTAACGGACAAATTAAGTACAAGAGTGTTAGTGTTCGTGAGTGTAATATTAGGAAAAATTAAAAAAAAAATGGATAATGAACCGCAGCCGTCCACGTCAGAAATCATCGAGGAAAAAAAGAGGACATTATATTTCGTTCCTTACTGGGATCCAATGGTACCCTAAATTCTAAGTAGGTGTATACAGCAGTGAGGACTACAACGTTCGCTCCAATGCGTATGATCAGGAAAAATCCCACGAATGTCCATCACTGCTCTAAACATTAATCCTCCCTCCACCTCTCTGAAAAGGAAGGATGGAATTCGAAACGACGTAATTTCACAATTATGTATCTACGCTATGATATGAAAAAGAAGAAAGAAAATTTCAAAAATCTGAATTTTCAAACGTTCTTATAATTTCCAAAAAATTTGAAAAAGTGGAGCTGCCTTCATATTGATGCACGCCCCTCAATTAGGCAACGGTAAGCAATAATTTTTTTCGAATGCTCAGAGAAGTATCTGTACAGGGCCGGCGCAGGGCAGGTTCAGCGCGTTCATCGGAACCCGACCCCGCGTTTTGAGGGGCCCCGCGGTCTACGAAAATTTTGGTTAACTTTTTACGGAACGATGATACCATTAACAGATGCAAGACATTTTTTATTAAGTATTATTATTTCATATAAAGTATTATTAATTAATACTCGTCTTATAAAAGATATGTAACAGTATTTGTAAATAAATAATTTCGCGTTGTAAAATTTAAGTGTAGGATTTGAATGTGAATTCAGGCCCCGCAACATTTTTGAACGGGCCCTGCAAAAGATCACGCCGACCCTGCTGTATCTGTACGATACATGCCGAACAATGGGTGACTTACGCTTGTTGATATTGCCCTCCGTTATTTGTTTGTACAATCCATAGAGTTCCAAAAATTCTGTGTCAGAAGGTCGTTTGGTGAAAGACTTCAAAGTCTCTACCGCTGCTTCGAATCTCTGTAAAATCGAAACGGATTTAACGTTACGAAATAAAATCGCTAACTTTGCTTTTTGCTTGTGTTCAAACTTTATCGTTTGTTACGCGTCCACGCTTCGTGCCTTGAGTTCGACCTTTCAAAACAGATGACTTGACAAGAAAAAAAACCGCACATTAACATTTGGATCGTAACTTCGTCTAAATGTCAACGTATACATTATTCTGGCAAACGAACAAATTAATGATTCGTCACACGAACGAATCCCATTTCCCCCACCTTCTTCGAATTTCACGGTGTCGTATTGTTACGTATAAACAAAACTATACCGATATCCGAAAATCTAGATCGTAAAGGATTGGTCGATAAGGAAACCTTCGACGATTACCGTCTTACAAGGGAAGGTCGCGATCCGGACGAGCGCTTTTTGCACGAGACCGGGCTCAAATGATGGGAGCCGATGGGCATAAAAAAGTGCAAAACATTAGGGGTATCTGGCCAGCCGTTTTTATAAAAGATGACTTTAAACATTTACAGGTTAGTAGATATAAGAAAACATTCAAGATCACAACAGAAGCTGTTGTAGCCGTGAGCGTTACGCCGCAGGTTCATGTTCTAGAGTTCGTGGGTTCGAGACTCGGCAATGGAAAATTTTTTTCTTTTCTCCAACTGCATTTCTATTTCTTATTCCTTTTTTTTTACTCACCCTTAATGTTTTGCACTTTTTTATGCCCATCGGCTCCCATCATTTGAGCCCGGTCTCGTGCAAACTGCGCTCGTCCGGATCGCGACCGTCCCTTGTCAGTACTAACTTACAAATTCTCGAACGGGATAGTTACGACACAAATGTATAATATGCGCAATTACGTGCTTCAGAACTTGTTGTCTCAAATAAGAATTTAACGTAGTTTCTTGGTTTGTGTAAATAAGTAAAGGGATTGATCACGTTGTCAAACGATCGATGGTTTTGCTTTTCACTGGACGACGTGTCCTTACGTTAACTTCCTTTCTTCAGTCGATAACGAAGTTCTCTATATTCGATAAGGAATATCCCAATTCGTGATTTTCGCGTGGAAACGCGACCGAATAAGAAGTCGACGCGAAATAGAATCACTGTTACCTGATCGACGGACATCTTTCCAAGCTGTTGTTTGCAGCGATCCTTTAATGACTACTGACCAATGGATCTTCGTAACCATCGGATAAATAGCCTTCCGGTACCAACCCCACTCCTTGATCGGCTACATCCAGTAACGAGAAATGCGATTAAAAAAGAAACGGCACATAAAATCATCCGTCCACTTGTGAATTCGTAACGGCCAACGTTCAAGCATCTGTTAGGTTTCTACTTCGTTTCAAAAACGTTTACCAAGGTTTCTATGCTGAATATTATCCCGTTATTCTCCGAGGCGCTGATAGGAGGGGCTAAGAAAAGATAGAATAGGCTACTGCGTTAGATGAAATAGTTAAACGAACATACAATCATAAACCAAAAACAAGGTAATAGGTGTAGGTTAAATAAAGAAATCTGGTTTTGTTTGCGTTTTTTATATGTATTTTAATTTTGTATTTTAGTATTTCCTAAGAAACTTGTGATAATATATAAAATGTTAGAAACGATAATAGAAATATCTAAAATGTTTATAATACATAGTAAATAAGGAAATAATGTTAAGAAGAATGTAATATGAAATTTAACAAAATGTTTATATTTTTATAAAGTGTAAAAAGGAAGAGTGCAAATTCCAAGAGATTATCTGACGCACTTAAATAAATACATGGAACTGGAACTGATAGGAGGGGCCATCTAACGTGATACGCACCAAAACAATCGATTCCATCTAACTGTTTTAGTAGATATCAGATAATTTGAATTTTGTGTACGCTTGCCACTTCACCTACAATTATTTGTATTTAGGCCAATACTTTGGAGATCACAACATGGTGATTTTCAATTTTATATCAATATTCGTGGAATTAAGTAGCCTATATTTCTGGCCAATCTATAAAACGTAACTAAACAAAGGTTAAGAGAAATCACAAGCACAGGTATTTTGTGATTTTATATTCATAACAACAAATTCATAAAAAAGTGTTAATTGAGTTATCTGTAACATTCGAGTACTCTAGTTCTATTCGAACTAGAGCTAAATGATTGAATATCAGGGCACAAAATTATTTTCCACGCCTAATAAATTACCAATAAGTGGAATTGAGTAGAATCATCCAGATGTACAAAATAAAGTAGATTACTATGGATTATGAGATGGCTGTATTCGAACATGCATGCACGCTGGCCACGAGTAAAATTATTATCGATTCGCCTTCCGGTACAGTGCAAACGAATAATTCTAAATCAAGTTTTAAGTATGTTTAAAGTCGAGACGTTGTCGGTGTATATTAGCCGTTCGCTATTAACTCTTCACTGCTAGCACTTCGCACTTTGTACTGTACATTAGGCTGCAATTTTTTTTTTAATTACAGTGTGAAAAGCTAATTTACCCGGTTGTTTACAAAAAGTACAATCTCAGATACAAAAGCGACATCGAAGATGCCATGAATCAGAGGACACGGCCTCGAATTTTACGATAGCTTTCAACCGTATTGAAGCTACGCGATTTTAAGTTAAAAATAATTGAACTTTCAAATATTCGTTTGCCTATTCGTGAACATGTAACAATTCTCGTAATGTAATTCTGACGAACATGTGGCAAGATCGTTTGACGCAATTTAGAATGTGGTGTTAGACGTACGAAGACAAAAACTAGCAATAATTATTTACTAATTTACAAAGCATTTATATAAAACTGACATTGATTCTTATTTTCATGTATTGGTTTTATGTTGTCAGGACTTGGCTACTCGAGTCATCAACTATATAAAAAAGTTCAGTGGTGTTGATTCTTACAACACAACAAGATTATTATCTACGCGAACCTATTTCTAACACTGTTAGAAGCGCGAAAAACAATGCTTCTAAACTTCCTATTAGAATATCTAACATTCTGTTTGTGCGTCATATATGTTTCACATGATGCATAAACTGTTATAACATGAATATTTACCCTCATATTTCATGTGTACACATGATGGAGTTATTAATATAGATAAAAAATATTTGAAGTATGTACTATCATTTAAAATTTTTCATTTGAACGTCCTTAAATATGGCGGGGATGGAAAAATATTTCACGTGCTACTAAATTGTATAATACATAAAAAAGAATCGTACATACTTCGTATAATGTATATATAAACTGTGTACTAAAGTTTGAAAACGACCATTTAGAATTTTTTATTTGAACGTCTTTAAATATGGCGGGAATGGAAAAATATTTCACGTGCTACTAAATTGTATAATACATAAAAAAGAATCGTACATATTTCGTATAATGTATATATAAACTGTGTACTAAAGTTTAAAAACGATCATTTAGAATTTTTCATTTGAACGTCTTTAAATATGGCGGGGATGGAAAAATATTTCACGTGCTACTAAATTGTATAATACATAAAAAAAAATCGTACATACTTCGTATATATGTATATATAAACTGTGTACAAAAGTTTGAAAACGGTGATTTGATCGGTCGTGGTAGATTCAGTGTTAGATATGGTGGAAATTAGAAGGAGGATCGAATGGTGTAACGATATCAGTTTATTTTTTAAAGAGATCATCCTTAGAGATACGAATTTTGCAGGCTTGTCTGACTCAGCAGCTGAAGAGCAGGACGATGGATATGACGCAGAGAGAATGGGGTCAACGTGCCACATCATCGTCAGCATCATCTCGATACTCACCTGCGCAAGCATGCAGGAATTCTCGAGCAGGGCCGAGCTGATTCAAGCTTGAGCGATGGCCACGCCACCTAAGTGAGCGGTAAAAAACAGTTTTAAACTTTGAAATTTCGCGGTGTTCTATTGGCCCCCAGTTCCCACCAATGCGAACTGGGACAGTAACGTCTACGTAATGGAATCTTGCACGACCGTAACAATATTTTATCCGAACAACTTTGTCGTTCTCTAAAAATTACAAATGGCTGATAAATAAATAAGAAATGGCTGATTTATAATTGTAGAATAGATCAAACGTACATTATGTATATTCTATGTATGTTTTCTATGTTATTGAACATCATAAATGCATAAAATTCGCAGTCTACTCGTTATCAACGTTTATGAATATATTGGCACATAATTATGATGCCAAAACTAATTTGGACCATGAGGGTCCAGGATATAAGGAGGATAATCGAAGTTGCTCGTGATTCTACGTAATTAACTTTCCCTTAATAAATCCGAGTATGCACTAACGGGGACGAGAAAGTTTTACATATCTTGCGTTCAATTTTCGACCAAATGGCCCTGTCCTCGTCTACCTGACGATCTCCGGTTTCGCGCAACACGGGAATCCCAGAATCTCAGGGCCGTATACGAGAAAAAATCCGAGAAATCACGTAGACTGAATTTCAACTGCGTTGACTAAATTCCAACCGAAGCAGATCCTTCGTGAATTTTTTAATTTCATTAATGACACAAACTGATCGATACATGCGCCAAGTACGTTCAAGTTAAACTCTGTTGTAGTTTACTTAATGTATTGAAAACACCTCGAGGACGAATGTGGTCTTATAATTTAATCATTCAATTCAGAAACGAAAAAAAAAAGTATTGTAAAATTGAAATATAGTTTACGCAACTACGCAGGATACGAGGATGCATAGTTATGGGAAAAGTGCGAGAAAGGCAGAGAGAAATCCACGAAAGAATGCGGAATTACTTCAAACGATTCAGTACTCGTAGACTCATCGCGTAGGTACAACTAATGTTCTGCATTACGTAGAAGATTATTACATAGCACCAGGGGTTTGAATAACAATCAATTACAATTTTTTAATTAAATAATTGATTCAAACAAATTTAATTCAATCAACTTAATTAATAAATATTTTGAATAAATGTAATTAAAAATTATTTAATTAAAATTGAATTAAGCAGAGTTAATCGAAAGTCGTTTCATTGACGATTGATACGAGCGAATTTAATCGAAGATATTTAATTGACGATTACTTTAAGCAGAATTAATTGAAAACCATTTAATTGACGATTGATTTAAGCAGAATTAATTCAAAGCCATTTAATTGACGATTACTTTAAGCAGAATTAATTCAAGCTATTTAATTGACGATTCGCTTATATCTTCAATGTTAAAAGACCTTTATATAAAATTCAATTAATTACATAAGTAACACATATAAATAAACATATATAAACCAATTTGTAGCGACAAATGCAATGTACTAAATACTATTAACCTCATCGAAATGAGTTGCTTGTATATATAACTATGTATTTGTTGAGGTAACTCTATGAATAAGTAATTTATAACGTAAATAAGAACAAATATGTATTCTTATTCAATGACGATAAAATAAGAAAAATATATACCATAGGTATAAGTTAAAGTAATATACTAAAAGCATAAAGCAGTTCAGCTAATTTGGCATTACCGACGTAACTCTTTCTGTACGAGCCCCGGATATATCTGGCATCCATCTCTGAACTTATCTGAACTTATCTTAATTGAACTGATCTTATAACTTTATATGTGTTACTCATACAATTAATTAAATTTTATATAAATGTCTTTTAACATTGAAGATATAAACAAATCGTCAATTAACATAGCTTGGATTAATTCTGCTTAAAGTAATCGTGAATTAAATGGCTTTGAATTAATTCTGCTTAAAGCAATCGTCAATTAAATACCTTTGATTAAATTTGCTCGTATCAATCGTCAATTAAACGACTTTCGATTAATTCTGCTTGATTCAATTTTAATTAAATAATGTTTAATTACATTGTTTGTAATTAATTGTCAATTAAAGACGGAAATTAATTTTAAAAGTAATTAATTACTCGCAACCCTGCATAGCACTTGCATCTCTCTGCCAATTAGCCATCCACTGTATCCATTAGGCAATTACTAATAATCAATTATGTATTGAACATGTTTTTAAATTCAATGACACTGAAAACATTATGACACATTACGTACTGTAGTGTTTCAAATGTATTGGCATATTAGAACATAATATTGTATTGAAAAGTTGAAGAGTTGTATTCTATACAATACACATTGCTATCGATAAACAACGAAGCAAACAACAGTTTATTTTAAAAAGAACATACATGCATATTTCAGAAAAAATTATAAGTGTGCAAGTCATACAACTAGAAAGCTATTCAGCAACAAAATACCAGCTATCCTACTATAGAAAGGGATTTGAATCACGTAACTATTATTAACGCGTAATTTGTAATGGTAGAATGAAAGTAAATCAAACGAAAATTCCTTTCACGTCATTGAAGCGCGCGCGAATGTGTGATAGCATGGAAAGGGAAGGGTGACCGCGGATGGGGGTACGTCAGTGGTGGACGAGCAGCGACGAAAGTTTCCGAAGACGGCCGATCGCTACGCGGGACCCGTGGCTGCGGAGGCAGAGCAAAACGCTTTAAAAATTCAACGGGTACGGTTGATTTGTCACTCGATCGTTTCGATCAGCTTTGAGGCAGAGACAGTGCGCGTTTCGCGGTCATGTCGATCGTTACGCAGCCGTGATTCTCGATCGATTAGTGAGGTGAATTAGAAACACGTGTGGACAGGCATCGTAAATATAATTTATATCATGACAACGACGTGATCGTGTCAAAGTTTGCTGTGCCCAGTGATGTGCAAATTCCATCGTTATCAAATTAATAGAAGAAATAGTTGGGGTTTTCCTTATTCGCGCTGCTACATTCAGCGATGATGACAAGCGTAACGTACGTTTTCTGGCCTTTAGGGCAGCATGTGTGTAACATCTGTGTATCTGGAATATTTCACCGTTTCAACCGCGTGTACTAGGTCACCTTCAGGATATTAACAAACAGAAGGATGCAATAGGCATACAGATGAAATATAAATTTGTAGGAATTTGTTTGACGATGCGAAATTGTAACCTATAACATTATTATTATGTCTTTCTACTCTGTTGTGATAATTGTGTGTGCTTCTTCTATGTACATAATATTAATCGTAAACAATAGGAAAAGCTCGTGCTTGGTCTGTTGTCTATTTATCAGTGACTTGGAAAAATATAGTTATTAGACTTTTCATAATAATATCTTTGTCTACTTTATCGGTACGACTAAACTTTGAAAATTTAATATTTCTTGTCATAACATTTTTGGACCTAGAAGTATTAGGTTGTCCCAAAAGTTTCTTTCGTAATTTACACTCAATTATTTTGTGCGCTAGTGTTTATATAAACAGACAATCTAATTTCTTAGATGTTGATGTTGTAACAGTAATGGAGCAAAATGAATCGTACACAATTCAATAATGTAACATTAGACATAAAATATTGTGTATGTATTACTTGTTAATAAAACGAAAGAAACTTTTCGGACAACCAAATATATACTGTAAAATGATATATTTGCAGTGATATCTAAAAATGGTTAATTCGTATTTTTGTTCATGAAAAGTAAAAAACAATCCATATTCGGATCAATCCAAAGATACAGGAGGCGTAAAATAACCTCATTTTTGGAATACTTAATACATTGAGATACCACGTGCATTGACAAAATTATTTCATGATACACTATGTCATTTGAAGCTATTAACCCTTTGCGCTCGGGTGGCGCCTCTAGGTCGACATATGTAATTTAAAAGCGATTTTGTGAACGTACAATTTCGAATTCACTTACGTCAGAATACAACTAATTATTAATTGAAATAATAATAAATCGAGTCATGAACGTTCGTAGATGTTTCTCTTCGAAGTAGAGTTTTTGGTGCCACAGAAATTTATTATAAAAATACTGATTGAATTTGACCGACTGAATTTGATTCTATAGAAAAATGCCTCGAGCGCAGAGGGTTAATGTTGTCATAATAATATAGCAGTAATCATAGATCTCATGAAATATCAAGGTTACGCAAAGTAACAAAGGATTTAATCGAATGTTATTACGTATTCTCGCGTTCGCTCGTTGAAACAGATAAACATTTTCCAAATTTCAATTTCCTGAAGACGACCGGATACGCACGATCGAAACGTGGAAATATTTCGAAATAAACTCGGTGTCGTATTCGTACCGTACCAACGAAGGTACATTTTGTTTGTCGCTCTTAATCGTTGGTTAACCGTGACGCAAAAACGCGGAAAAATTCACGTGCCGCGAAAACAATCGAAAGTTTGCACGACACGGGACCAGTCGAACGAAAACAATTCGATCGCGATTGATGAAAATATTTTCGTACTCGCGGACCTCGTTTACCGTTCGTTTCATAAACTACGGAATTTCGTGCAACGTGACGCGACTGCATAACTATTCGCGACAATTCTTCCGCGAACAGTTGGTAACCCGTGACGATAAGTGAACGGTCCAGCCAACTGCATCCTATCTGAATATTATCCAGTTTCGTCATAATTGCACCATCGCGATACCTTGCGATCGCCGAGCATTTTCACAATAACGAGACCGTCGTGTGTCAAACCTCGCGACGATTGTGACATTGTGCTGACGACGGAGAGAGAAATCTCGACAAGTATGCGAGTGTATGCGAGTTCAACTGACGATATACGTCATCATTTTCCAAACCAGGGGCGCCATTCTCGGAAAGGTTGATTCACGCGAGCCTGAAGAGATTAAAGGGCCGTTTCACTGTGAACGCACAAAAGAAAACATATTTTCAATAATTTTAGTCTCAGGAATTGAGATTTGCATGAAATTCAATGAATGTTTTCTCCCCTTGACACGTTGACTGCCAAACGAATATTCTTGAAAATTTCTGTTAAGATTAAATATTATTCAGACTATCGTAGTCTAGGTAATGAAACATTTATCGTGGTATTTAGATTTGTAATTACATCAAAATTCAAGAACTTCATTTAGATTCATCTCCTGTGACGTCTAACTTTCAGAATGAATCTTTTTAGTTCTTGAGTGAAAAACACTGTCACCCATATATGGGTGACACGGCGGTCAACGTGTTAAAGGTATGATTAAGGAAAGTAAATAAAAAAATTTTTCTTGGTAAAAAATATTTCGTCATTTATTTGCAAAATAATATGCATGTGTGCAAAAAAAAAAAGTTATCCGCTGGCCCAGATGATTTTGACTCTCCTGGTAATCTGAAACAGAAAATCGAAAAAGTTTATTAAACTATGTCGTCACACCTATGGTCGGAACCTCCACTTATTTATTTCATCGGAAGTAAACAAAATGGCAGCGTTTCTTGTGAAAGAGAGAGAGAGAGAGAGAGAGAGAGAGAGAGAGAGAGAGAGAGAGA